AGATGAGATAGACAATATACATATATGTGAAGTAAGTATACGAATAGGAAGGAATTGTTCTCAGAGATGGGAGCATCCATAGGTCTCAGTTGAGAGTGGATTGTCTTCATCAGCCTAGCACGCCTAGGAAACAGCCTACGTAAAGAGCTTAGAGAGTAAAGTGAAGCTGATTAGACGTTCGATCGGACTTGTCTTCGGATCGATGACTTGTGCAGACTCGAGTGAAGGCATAGCTGGATGAGAAGGAATCTGATAAGCAATCAACCGGACCAAGGCTGGCCTAACTTAAAGTCAAGGAAGGTAGGACAAACAGTGGATTAGACGTCCTTCAGTAGACAATGAATAGACAAATGAAAGAGGCGGACCTGATGAGTAGCACTGGACTAGTGGACTAGTGGACTAGTGGACTAGTGGACTAGTGGACTAGTGGACTAGGGAGCCCTAGGGGGGCCGTTGATGGCCCATAGATGAAGCGATCATTCCTTTTGCGAGTGGAAGGGGCTGTGCCACTCCAGGCTTGAATAGTTTGACTGAAGTGCTAATGGGCTTAAGCGATATGTCATTCGAGCAGCAGCTATCCATGCCCTTGGCTTCATTGCTGAGCGACAGATAGTAATGGCGTATCGAGTCAATAATAAAATTTGCAATAAAAAGCCAAGGCGATCGGAATGGAGCTCAACTATTTGGGCGCGCGGTGCGTGGACTTATGCTAATGTGTGGCTGCTGCTGGTGCTGTTGGGGCTGCTGTCGGGCAGGGAGACTCCCAGGCTGCCGGGCTCATAAACAACAACGAGCATAAATCTCAGCATGCCAGCCAGCCAGGAGCAGCAGCAGCAGCAGCAGCGGGCAGGCAGCAACAAAAGGCGAAGGAAAAAATACAGTGAGCAACAAGAAAAACGGGAATCTCGGCGCCGCGGTGTCGTCGTCGTTGTTCTCGCTTTGATTTATTTGCCAACGTGCACAACGCTGCGTATGCGTAATTTTTGTGTGTGAAAGAAAGAGAGGGCGCGGGAGAGGGCGAGGGAGAGGCTGTGGGAGTGAGCTGAGAAGCTGAAAGCCGAGAGATGGCAGGCTCATATCAATGACAGCAAGCGAGTCGACTTTACATTTAAAAGTAAATTATGCCACACATTCGCATTCAGATTCAGATTCACATTCGTATTCGCATTGTTTATTTATTTCCGACTGAAGGTTTCTTTTTTATTTATACACATACAGATATTTTTGTAGCTGTCAAAAAGGCAAAACACACACAGACACAGACAGACAGACAGACAGACGGAGGGACGAACGGACGGTCGGACGGCACCTATTTGCATAATTTTGAGGGAGCTTGTGCGGGAGCTGGGATAACTGAAACTAAAGCAACAACAAAGCCGGGGATAATCAGTTATAAAGCAGCTACAAATTTAAATATGCTTTCACATAAGCAATTTAATGTTTGCACGTGCCACAAAAGTCAATCGCTTGTTTGTGCCAGAACAAACAGAACTAGGCCAACACACACACACACACACACACACACACAGTGAATCAAGGGGGCCAAAACAGTGAAAGTTTTTTCCAGCTTTTCCTATTTTTTTATTCCAACTGAAACGAGGGCTTAAAGTTAAGTACACACATGTCTGTCATATTACATAGACAGAGCGAGGGAGGGAGAGAGGGAGAGCGAGAGAACGAGAGGGCAAGTGTGTGAGAGATTATGAGTGGAATTTGTTGAAACGTAAATAGATTAGCTCTACATTAATTGCGGGCTATGCGAATTAGAATTTTGAAGAGCTCTGAATTTCGAGCGCTGATAGAATCAGACATTGTAGAGTTACTACATGGGAGAGTCGAGTGGAACAGAGAACTAATGTGTATGAGTATTGGAGTATTACGAATATCCCCGAAAACGAAAATCTATTGAACAACTAATCCGACTACACTATCCCCGACTGAATTTGTGCTCTATATCTCTATATATCTCTATATCTCTCTAGCTCTATATCAACGGAGAACTTTTTATCTGGAATATAACCTGTTAACATCTTAAATGTCAATCCTCTTTCTTCGACACTTAAAGCTATTGGTCTTCCTTGGACATAAGCTCTTAAGAACTATGCCAAGTTAACTCACATTAGATATCGATAATTATCGATTAATTGCGCCTCGCATACGAGAGAGCCTAAAACTCTTATGTGAGGGAAGCAATTGAGTCGAGTTAAGATTGCTCCAGATCAAGTACTATATATACATATTTACATATATGTCTTTTGCTGTCATCCATGCATGCTGCTGCCTTTCACCAACATTTTGTTGTTGTCCTATTTCAGCTTAAAATTTCCAACCTTCACACTTGACTTAAGCTAAAGAAGAATGTGGAAAACAAACTAGAGAAAAAGGGCAAAGTGAAAAAGTTGCGAATATCTAGTAAGCGCCATCTATGCAAGCTTAAAAAAGCGAATGAGAAGAAGCAGATTCCTGAACAGCACCCACATCAAATGCGATATTTGTTGGCCAGTTTAAAGATCTCGACATGGAAATCTGACATTTTGATTTGCGGCACAAATCGCATTATATCTGCGCTACATATACTATATATGTATGTGTGTCGTGCTTCTTCTTCTGTTTCTGCTACACTCTCACTTAGCGCGAAGTGTGTGAGCCACGCAGCTTTTTATTTGCTCAAGTTGCTTTTGCGCGTTGTTTGTGTTTAATTATGGATAACTGTACATGTGTGTGTGTGTGTGTGTTTGTGTGTGTGTTTACATATGTGCGTTGTGTTATTATACAAGGAGCTTACATAGCTATTCTCGTTATTGTATTGCTCTTTCTCTCGCATTCGCCCTTTTCCTTGGTCTCCCTCTCCCTCTCGCTCTCTTGCTCGACTCGTGTGCTCTGCTGGCCTTTTTGGCTTGTTTAACATTTGAAATTCATATTCAAACACACACACACACGCACAAACTTGGACTGCGCCTGTCTTAGGGCCAACTTCCGTTTCCGGTTTGTAAACAAATGGCGCCAGCGAACGATTAATTATTGTTGATTTCGTTGCCTTTTGTCTATGCTGGTGGCAGGACACGTGCCGCCCGCCGTCAACGCCGCATGTCCCTAACACGCATTGCCACGCCCATGCCCACGCCCATTGCCACGCTCACAGCCCTGCTCCCCCCCTCCGCCTTTGGACCGGTTCGTCGCGTCGGTTTAATCCAAAAACTGGAAACACAAACAATTTCCTGCATTAGCACTGATAAATCGTTTGTTAAATATTTGAACTATTTTGGGTCGCGCCGCAGCGATTATGCATTACTTAATAATGTCATAGGGCTTATCGATTTATCGATAGTAAATATTATTAGAATTGTCACGGAATTGGGGAGGTAGAGGTGGGGCTGTTGGATGTCGGGATGTAGCTTCGAGTTTTTGTGATTTGATTTATTTTCTGATAATTACCTTGATTTATCGATAACACATCTGAGTTCATGAAGGCAAGTATTGATGGGAATAGACTAAAGTCTTTAGTCTAGCATATTGACCATTGGCTGGATGGCTGGATGGCTGGATGGTAAGTTATCGATTTATCGATTACAAGGTATTCATTTTTTAATAATCGAATACACCTATCGACATATCGATTTATCGACAGCAAGTATGGGCAAATTCACTAGGGAGCCACATACTTATTTAAGTCTACATTTATAATATACAAGCGTTCATTTCTCATTTTCTCAGTAATCGATAAATTTCTTTAGGACTAGCATCAAATTGTACTTTCACCAATTGTTTAGACGATTTTGATGTTATTTTTGCCATTACACTGATTGCGTTTGGTTATAGGTCTATTATGCCATCCTAGTCCTCTTATCGATTTGATTTATGACTGCTCGATAACATTTCAGTGCTGCTGCCAATTGTTATCGTTTGTTCATTAACTGTGCGAGTGCCATTAATTGGCGTTAAGTGTTATTATGCAAATTGTTATCGTTATTATTTGTGCAACGGCAATTACAAATTTCGGCCTGAATCGCTTATCGTCTATCGATAAATTTGTAATTAACGCTGCGGCCAGGCGAATTAGCAGAATCGAATGTCATTTTAAGTAGCTTAATGCCTTTCTCTATGAGCATTGTTGCTCTGGCCTATCAATAAACCAATTTTCGCACACAATTGCTGCACGCTTCTCTGCCTCTGACTGTGTGTGTGTGTGTGAGTGTGTGTTAGTGTCTGCCTCTGTGTGTATCAGAAACCACAACGTGGCACTTTTTTGGCAAGTTAATGTGTTATACTTAGGTGCTTCGCACACGTGCGCCTATACATACACACAAGTGCGGGTCGTAATTAATGATTGAACGCACACATGCATACGCACACGCACTTCCTCTCACACACACACACTCACACACAGGCACCCGCCCATCCAGTCAAACTTTTGCCTAACAAGCGCCTGCCCTGAAAAGTATGCTACAATTTGCGTTGCGGGCAACAAATATGCTGCTCATTATTTTTAGAGCTACGCACAGCCCACACACTCACACACACACGCGCCAACACACACATACATACATAGGTACGCACACCACACGCATATAAATTATGTTTGGGCTTCATTATGCCAACTGCTTTTATGACCCAGACTCAGAAGTGTGAGCGCGTGTGTATGTGTGTGTGTGTGTGTGTGTGTGTGTGTGCATGTGTGGGTGTATATGAGTTTGGCATATTTCGGCAGACTCCGCATTAAAAATCAATTCACAAACTTTGCACGTAGCTTCAACTGAAGTGTATGCCCTGTATGTGTGTGTGTGTGTATGTGTATGTGTGTGTATGTGTATGTGTGAGTATGTGTGTGTGTGTTTCAAGTGTGTGTTGTGTATGCAACAGCAACAGCTTTTAATGCGGCTTTGATGAAGCAATCGCTGCCATTGCTGCTGAATGGCTAATATCAAGCCCTCACTCTGCTCTCTCTCTCTCTCTCTCTTTCACTCTCACTCATGCCGTCTCTTTCTTATTCTCATTAAAGGCAGTCAGTCAACATGGAATGACCCAAGCTGCTTGTGCTGGAACACACACGTGCTCGGAAGATGCTGCAACCGCCAACAACAGCAGCAGCAGCAGCAGCAACGCCAACAGCAACAGCAACAGCAACAACTGAAGCAGCAACAATTGCTGCAACAGCTGCAACTGGCAATGGGCAGCGACGTCGCGTGGCAGCTAGCGACAGCAGCGGCACTCACAGTAAAACCAACAACAACAAACTAAAGCCACAGCCAATGCATTCCAACGAGGAGCCGCCCACGTCGGTGATCGTCGACGGCGGCAACCAGCAACAGCAACAGCAGAAGCTGCGACGCAGCGCCAGCGCCAGCGGCAGCAGCGGGCAGCAGCAGCGACTGCGCAAGACGAGCTCATGCAGTGCCAGCGCCAGTGCCAAGGCCACGCCCACGCCGCACACGCGCCGCCCACACAGACAGCATTCGAATGCCTCCGACTCGATGCAAAAGCAACAACAACAGCAGCAACAGCAGCAGCAGCAGAAGCAACAGGAGCAATCGCATCGCTATCAGCCAGCTGGACGCGCTGGCAGCAAGGAACGCTCTGAGGCGGCGCGTAGGCGTGGCACACGCCGGCACAGCGGCGCCTCGACACTGAGCGAGGCAACAGCTGGCGCCGTGCAGCGTCGCACGCGCGACACCGGCCGAGACTCGGCCGGCAGCTCCTCGACGGCGTCCAGCTGCAACGGCAGCTGCAGCTCCGACGATGGCGACTCGACGCACTCGTCCTCCTCCTCGTCCAGCTCGTCGGGCGAGCCGAATCTGCCCTATCCAGGCTTCCCGGAGATTGCCATGAAGGCGCTCACACAGTACACGCGACCGCGCAACTGGTGCCTGATGCTCATCACCAATCCATATCCTTTTCGAAACAAAAGCAAAGCACAGGTGCCGCAGACACCAAGGGCTGTCCTTGCACCAGCCACATACATACGCCTCTTGTTTGTCCGTGTGTGTGTGTGTGTGTGTCAGGGTATATATATGGTATATCTGGGTAAATATAGGTATATCGCTGCTGCGGCCTATTGATTTTTAGTGTCTGCTCGTGCCTGCTGGGAGGCTACCTACTCGCACTCGTACATCTGAGAGTGAAGCGGGTGCTCAGCACCGACTAGACGCTACCCTGAAGATGAGAGAAATACGGCAGGATCTGAATTCACAGTAGGCGGGCGTGTTTATATACAAAACTTGATGGGGCCAACTTCTGAATTTGGAATATGCTTTACATTATCATAGATAGCTAAAGATATAGAGAATCCATATGAAATTTTAAGTTTACTGCTCTTATACTTCCAGAGATCAAAGAGCTCATACGTTCGTAAACAATTATGGATAAGTGAAAGAAAGGTGTAGGAACGTAAGAAGAGAAAGCGTGTTGAAGGGCGGACAAAGGGAATATTAGACGAACGAGCAGGTGTAAGAAGAGAGAAACTGTTGAACAGACGGATAATCGGGTAGATATTCCGACGGATAGACAGATAGACAGTTAGATGGATAATCAGATAAATAGTCCAAAGGATAGTCGAATGCTTTAAATCATTTGAGAGAGAGGGAGAGAGAGAGAGAGAAAGAGATAGAAAGTGAAAGAGAGATATATATATATAAAGTGAAAGAGAGAGAGAGAGAGACATAGACAGTGAAAGAGAGAGAGAGATAGAAAGTGAAAGAGAGAGAGAGATAGAAAGTGAAAGAGAGAGAGAGATATATATATAAAGTGAAAGAGAGAGAGAGAGATAGAAAGTGAAGGAGAGAGAGAGACAGAAAGTGAAAGAGAGAGATAGAAATCGAAAGAAAAAGAGAGAGAGAGATATAGAAGGTGAAAGAGAGAGATAGAAAGTGAAAGAGAGAGATAGAAAGTGAAAGGGAGAGAGAGAGAGCAACAGACAGAGACAGTTCTGCATTTGAATTTCATTGACTCTATATAGATGCTACTTGTATACCAAGAAATCCCCTATAAACAGCTTAAGCGATATGTCTATAATTGGATTTACCTCTTACGCTTGCCGCAAGGTCTCAATGCTGTATTGGATGTTTATAGAGCATGCATATTATAGATGCTGTCGAGAGGCTGTGCACCAAATTGTATTACTTGAGAGACCTTGATTGCCAATATCAATAGGTATATATATGTATATATACCCCATGCAATTAAATACGCTTTACATATTTATAAGTTAACCTTGATATGCACACCCTGTACACTCTGGGCTGCATGGGGTAGCTGGGCATGGCGAGCAGAGCTCCACGGAAGATGGCCCGCTGGGCCTGTGCATCGAACGACCCACACTCTTAGTTACAGGGTATTCACTGCCTGTGAGCCTTGAAATATTTGCGTTTTATTTATTCATTTTTTTTCGTACTTGCCTGCCTGTTGCAAAATATATGCCTACATGTGCACACACACACACACACAAACACGTGTTTCTGTGTGTGTGTGTGTGTGTTTGTGTGTGTGTATCGCATAAATAACATATATCGGCGTAGCGGAAGACGCTGCCCGAGTTGCCAATCGCCATTCGCAGTCGTTGCTTCCTGTTCTGACATTTCTGTCCTTGTTTTCGTTTTTTTCTTTGTTTTTTTTTTTGTTCTTCTTTTCTTTAGCTCTCTTCTTCTTTTTTTTGCGCCTTGTCATTTGCAGTGTCCTTCTTCTTCTTCTTCGTTTGCTTGTTCGTCGTCCTGGCTGCTGTTGCTGTTGTACTCGCTAGGGGATAATGTGCGGCAATCAGTGCCCGCCCGCCCCCTGCTCCGCCCTGTGCTCTGCCCGTGACAGGCAGCGCGAGCTCGCCCCTGGCATGTGCATGAAAAATCGCTTTGCATACTTTTGGGCGCACTTCACATTTAATTTAACCTGAAATTAAAATTGACTGACGTTGATATTTAAGATGAACACATTTCATACATTAAAACCAACTCAGCCCACATAGTCAACAGATGCTGCGCCATTAAGTGCCTTCTCATGCAGCCAGCTGTCCTGCAGGACCCCAGGAACTAGAGCCGAGTGGGGCATAGCAGCCGAAGGATAAATTCAATTCAAGTACACTCTAGTCGACTGTGTGGCCCTAGTAGATACTCATCATGCAGCATCATGCTGAGATTTTTCCTATTTGCATCCATATCCCTATGCGTATTTCAGGCAAATTATGTGATTCTCTTTGGAAGAACTCTTTGCTATTGTACTTCGGCTCTAGAAGCTTCTCTCTCTATTTAAGGCGTAGCTCAGTCAGTATAAGAAATAATGAAAACTGAAGTTTATAATGTATTTAAATCATCTTAATCCATTCATCATTAAAAAGCCAACCTCTAAGGTCCATCGTCATCGAGTTGTCCGATGACAATCGATAATGTCTAAGCGAAATGAGTTATCGAGTAATAAATTGTAAAGAAAGAGATTGTTTACTCGATATTTCGATAGCTTTGGGAGCTAACGAACGGATGCCTATATTGACTTAGATCATAGTCCTGATTCTTCTGACTCTTCCAGACATGTGCTCCATAGATACGTATCATTCAATATAACATTCAGTAAACTTAGCTTACATCAAGTTTCTGCTTTCATAAACTAATCTTATTAGAAGACCCTTTTGGTTCAAGTAATATAATATTATTATAGATCTACACAAAAAATTGTCGAATTAAGTCTGCTGTGCAGAAAATTTTGATATCCAAATTAAAGGATGTAAAGTTGGAGTGCGTGATTCAATTTTGGCTACTCCACAGATCTTCCAGGAAGATCCAACTCTATCCCACTTCAGCCTAAAGTCAGCAGAGCTGCTGTGCGTTCTCTCTGTTTGGGAAATTCTAAAGGAAAACCATTCCTGCATAACTATTGCAGCGGGCTTTGTTCGTAGAAAAGCCCAATTTTAATTGGATTTAGTGTTGGGACATGCTTAAATAATCAACTCATTTCTGTAGAGTTGCTGCAACTTTTCGATGTTGGTTATACGAAAGGAAAACTGTTTTTGGCTCTGCTGTCGGCGGCAACTGTCGATGGCCACAAATAGAATTTGAGTTGAAACTATTTATTGCATTTGCCCGTTTTCCGAGTTTTCCGGACATCTTTGTGGCATCTCAATTGCTATTTCCTGTCACTTTCCGTTGTTGCTGCTGCCCAGATTCCAAACACACAGACAGACAGACAAAGAGCGAGAGAGAGAGAGAGAGGGAGAGGGGGAGAGGGAGAACTAGTCTGTGGCAATTACCAGCTGCCAGCTGCATTGCTCAGCCAGCTACAATAACACGATAATCGCACCCTGGGCGCCCCTTAGCTAACCCCTTTGATAAGCCTCCCTTTCGCTTGGCCTGCCCCACTTAATTGTTGGCTATAAATTTTGATTTTGTCATTGTTCAGCTGTCCCTTGGGCGATATCTTGAGAGTTTTGCAAAGTTTCTCCTGCCAGCCATAGCTGCTGCAGCTGCTTGCCTTCCCTTATCAATTATTGTTGATCGGATTGCAGCGTTTTGTTGCAGTCAGCGCGGCGTCTCGATTCAATTGGCATTTCTCATAATCAATTTCATAACTGCATTAAGTGCGACCCCTAAACTAATTCCGAGTTGAAAACTTTACTGGTTCGCCGCGTCTACGTGGCGCTGCTCAATGCCACTGCGAGAGAGAGGGATGTGGATGAAGGGGGAGCGCGAAGCGGCATCTGCGAGGTCAACTGCGACATTTGCCAAAAAGTGTTAACGCCGCCTTCAAGTCGCCAGCGGCGGTACGGCTGTGTCTCCTCGTACCTCCATCTCTCATTGTCTCATTCGGCGGTTTCCTTGTCTCTCTGTGTCTTTGTTTTCCTGTTGGACTATCTCTGCTCTGTGCCATTCTATATCTGCCCTCTCAAGTTTCATATCTAATATGTTTTACCTCATATCTTACATCCCATATCTCATATTTCTATCTCATATCTCAAATTTCAAATATCATATCCCATATCTCATATCATATCCCATATCTCATATCTCATATCTCATGTCTCATATCTCATATCTCATATCTCATATCTCATATCTTATATCTCATATCTCATATCTCATATCTTATATCTCATGTCTCATATTTCATGCTTCACACTCATATATCTCTCGCTCTCTCTGTCTTTCTTTATCTCTCTCTCTCTCTCTCTCTCTCTTGCTCCTTTTTAAGCATCTTCCTTCGTAAGCAAGAATAGCTCTCAGAAATCAGAGAATTCCCCTACATCGGAGCAGGCAGGAGACGTTGGGCGCACTGGGAGCATAGTGTACACATCATTAGCATGCGAGCAAAGTAATGCGATATCCACGCCCACAACTAATTATGGCATCTACTTAATAGCAATGAATCGCAGCGCAATCTCATTAGCCATGCGCCCCGCTGCCTTCAGCAGGACGCCGCCGCCACCGTCGCCGTTCTAGCACCGCTTTGACCTCGCTGATTGCCAAGTGCTTGAGATTACATTACATGCCATCATCGATAGCTCCGATTGCAGCTGCCATTCGAATCGGGGCCAACAGGTGGCTAGGGTGTGGATCAGTGGGTCGGTGGCTCGGTGGCTCACCTCTCGGCATGCCAATTATTTGTGATTTCCAGAGCACAAGAGCGTAAATTGATATCAATTAGTTCAAGTACAGCCCAGCTAGTGAAACCGATATCAGCTTAATTAGGCGGCCACCGATAGGCATCTATCAAGATGCATGTGAGCTCCGCTCTATCCAAAGTCAAGCAAGCTAATTTGAAGTCAAGGTTCAGCATCTGTGGCAGGGCCTATTAATATGCCTAATCCATAAGTATCGATAACAAGCCATGAGGAGACTGAGACTGAGACTGACACTGAGACTGAGACTGAGACGGAGACGGAGACGGAGACGGAGACTGAGACTGAGACTGAGACTGAGACTGAGACTGAGACTGAGACTGAGACT